ACATTGGGGAGGCACTTTTTGAATTAGTGTTTTTGTTTTCTTTGAGTTAAATACCCTGTAGTGGGATTACTGGATCATACAGAGTTTCTATTCTTAATTTTTTGAGGAACCTCCATACTGTTTCTATAGTGGCTATACCAATTTACATTCCCACGAAGAGTGAATGAGGATTCATTTTTCTCCACATACTCGTCAGCACTTGTTATTTCTTGTCTTTTTGATTTTCGCCATTCTGGTGTGAGGTGGTATCTCACTATAGTTTTGATTTGATTCCACTCATAAGTGGAATCTAAAAAAACCACAAATGAATAAACAAACAAAAAGTAGTACCAGACAAATAAATATAGAGAACAAACTGACGGTTACCAGAGGGGAGGGAGGTGTGGGGAATGGGCAAAATGGGTGAAGGGAGTGGGAAAGGCTTCCAGTTATGGAATGAATAAGTCACAGGAATAAAAAGCACAGCATAGGGAATACAGCCAATGATATTGCAAAGGCAATGTATAGGGACTAATGCTGGCTAAACCTGTGAGCATAGCATAATGTATAAACTTGTCAAATCACTATGGTGTACGCCTGAAACTAATGTAACATTCTGTGTCAACAACACTCAAAAATTTTTTAAATATATTTTCTTTAATCTATGTTCATTATGTCATACTTAGAAAGGTCCTACCGGGGCAACTGGGTGGCTCAGTCAATTAAGCGTCTGACCCTGGCTCAGGTCATGATCTCACCATTTGTGAGTTCAAGCCCCACACTGGGCTCTGTGCTGACAGCTCAGAGCCTGGAGCCTGCTTCAGACTCTGTGTCTTCCTCTCTCTTGGCCTCTCCCCCACTCACTGTCTGTCGGACTGTCTCTCAAACATAAACATTAAAAAATGTTTTTAAAAAAGGAAGGTCCTACCTATTCTCATATCATTATTTTTTAACTCCCCCCTATGATTTAATTTTATGTAATTTTTCATGTTTATATCTTTGAACCACGTGAAATTTACTTGGACCATCTTGAAATTTACATGTAAAGGAGACCCCAACTTTTCTTTTTCAGATGGCTGCCTATAGTTCAAACACAATTTGCTGAATATCCCATATTCCTTCACAAAAGAATATGCCCAAATTATCATCTGCTGAATTTCTGCATTATTTTGCAAATTTTTCTTTCTTTTTTTAAGTAATTTTTTAATATTTATTTATATTTGAGAGATAGAGACAGTGTGAATGGGGTAGGGGTAGACAGAGAGGGAGACAGAATCCAAAGCAAGCTCCAGGCTCTCAGCCATCAGTGCTGAGCCTGATGTGGGGCTCGAACTCACAAACCCCGAGATCATGACCTGAGCCAGAGTCAGACGCTTAACCAACTGAGCCACCCAGGCGCCCCTCTTTCTTTTTTTAATCTTAAAGGGAAAGAGAGAGCTTGAGTAGAGAGGGAGAGACAGAGAGAGAGAGAGAGAGAGAGAGAGAGAGAGAGAGAGAGAGAATCTCAAGCAGGTTCCATGCTCAGTATGGATGGAGTGCCAGGTAGGGCTTGATCCCACGACCCTAGGATCATAACATGAACTGAAATCAAGAGTAAGATGCTCAACCAACAGAACCACCCAGGGGCCTCATGCACTGATTTCTAAACTTCGAAGTCTGTTTTGTGATTGTTTCAATATTCAGATGTTAGTACCACAATGCTAACTGTTGGGATGTTTTAACATGTAGCTAAAGCTAGTTCCCTTTCATTTGTCTTTTTTTCAGAACTGCTTGTATATTTTTGCTTGTGGCTTTTCCATAAAACCTTCAGAATTAATTTTTCTACCTCCTGAAAAATTATGTTTGACTTGTTTTTGGATCACATTAAATGTCCATATTAACTTAAATAATATTGACATTTTATTTTTTGTCCATTTTTATAAACTTTTGTGTTTTACATAGTATTTAAAAATTTTGCTCATGTAACTCTTACATACTTCATAATTTTATTCTGTAGTATCATATTGGTTTTGATGCTACTGGAAATTTGGTCTTTTTTTCCCACTGTATCTTTTAATTTGTTTCTCATTTCTTCAAATTAATCAATATGAAGTTTATAGTTTTTGGGTAAGGCCTTCATATATTTACATAATTACTTTTTAGTTGTAAACTTTTGTTAAATGAAACTAACATGACACATATACCTCAAAAATGAATCACAGCTAACAAAAGAAGCCTCATTCTATAATTTCCTAACAGGAATTCTGAGCTTATTTTGTTTGTGATTTCAGATTTTTAAATCCTTCAAAAGCAGTTTTTCTTGGATTTATAAAAGGGAGAGTTCACTTTTGATAATCCCCAGTTATCAAGTCTGGTTTCATGTTTAACTCCTAGCAGCTAAGCTAAGCATATCCATCTACTTCTTTACCCTTAGTGTTCTTTGATGGGGTTTTTCAATATATCCATGTGTCTGAAGCTGTTGATTAAGAGTATTTATGCCGTTTAACTTCCTAATTTGCTCAGGATCATCTCACTGAGGGTGGGGAGATGTTGAGTCAAGACTGAAAACTATTACAGAAATGTATTCCAGTTATAATGATGCCCTTTGGGAAAGAATGCAGATTTGGTTCTAATTCTCAGTTCTGCTTGAGGCACCATGGCCAAAATCATCTAAAAAAATGAGAATTGCTAACAATATGCATAAAACAGGCTATCAAGCTGCATATTGGAATAAGGCTTCTCTTGGGCTTTATAGAGTAACTCAAACAGATCTGGAAACAAATACAGCAAGTTTTAAGGCTTTCAGAATTCTAAATTTCATATCAGGCATAATATTATACTTTTAAACCCAGTAGATCTATTTTAGATATATCTGATAATTGCACTAAAATCCTAACGACTATCATACTAAGGTCCCACCCAATCCAAGCATTAAGAGAAAATGCTATAGTCACTGACAACAGCAGCCTATCAATCTGTGGGTGTCATTTGTTCACTTCAAAGACTAACAGTAGAGGGGCACCTGGGTGGCTCAGTCGGTTAAGCATCTAACTTCAGCTCAGGTCATGACCTCACAGTTCATGGGTTCCAGCCCTGCATTGGGCTCTGTGCTGACAGCTCAGAGTGTGGAGCCTGCTTCAGAATCTGTGTCTCCCTCTCTCTCTGCCTGCCTCCCGCTGCCCCCACCACCCCCCCGCCACTGGTGTTCTCTCTTCTAAAAATAAATAAATATTAAAAAAAAAAAAAGACTAACACTACAGAAAGTGCTGGAGTCATGTGGATATAAGGACCTCTGCAGGATCCAGAAAGATTTGAGGTTTTAATGAATCATATGCTTTTTATGATTCTCCCTGGGATCATGCATTTCTATTAGTTTTGGCCCTCCCTCTCCGCAGGAACCAGGACACTGTCCACGGAGCACTGCCCAGGCTCTGTGCAGACTCACCTTCAGCTTGTGCATCAGCATTTCTTCCTGCTCTCTCTGAAGGCTTTCTCTTTCCCTCTCCAACTTCTCTCTCAGCTGGGCTATGTATTCCCTGAAGCTTCTCTCTTGAGCCTCCATCTTTTGCATCTGTTCCTTGTGTTTCTCAGTTAGCAGCTCCTGCTGCTTCTCAGCTGCTTCCTTCTTAGCCTGCTCAGCTGTTCCACACGTTGGAAAGAGAGAAGAAAAGCAATGGTCAGCTCTGATGATTTTATTATGCTGTATTTCATCTGTGTTGCTGCAACTGCAAATTCAGCTTTTCCTTACATTTACCTTTTAACAATCTTGTTTACCATTTCTTTTATTTGATCAAAATGAAGTATGTCTTTTGTATGTCCGACCTTAGTAATCATTAGCCACTGTTGATCTTTAAATTTTTATTTAAAGAAACTAATGTGACACATGCTTCCAAAATAAGTCACAGCCTCACAAAAAACCCTTATTTTACAAATCCTTAAAAGGAATTCTGAATGTATGTCATTGTGAGCTGAGAATCTTCATCCTCACACCAGGTAACTCAGTAGGAGCCGGTACTTCTTCACCAAACACTCCATCAGTCACATCAACAATCCACGGACCCAACAAATGTTTACCTTCTTTATTTGCCTCAATCTCTTTTTTCAATAGCTGTATCTCTGTACACAACCTCTCAGATTTCTTTTCAAATCCCTCGTTACGAAGTTCTTCTTGGACCTACAAAAAAGAAGGGGTTCACCTTTGAAAATCCTCTATTATCAAGAATAAGGGTTTTGAGTCTAACAGTTTCAGCACTGAAGAACCATGTCTACTGCACTATCACCAAGAGCGTTCTTTGATGAGTCGATCCTGCAGAGTGGGAGTACCCATGGTGTACACCTTCCCAGATTCCCTCAGCACCATCCCCCCAAGAGTGCGGTGGGGTCAGGCTAGGTCAGACATGTGAACTACCCTCATGTGAGTTCCAGCAGTGAGGATGTCCTTCAGAGGGATGTAGGATTAATTCTAAGTATTTCTCAGTTCCACCAAGGTAGCATGAACACACACGTCTAACACAAATGGGAACTGCTGATGTGCTCTAGAACACTCGCTATCAAGTATCAGATTGAGTCAAAGAACTACTTTTCGTCTGTGCTCTGCTGGACGACTCACAAAGATCTGGAAACAAATGCAGCAAATTTTAGAGTTTTCAGAATCCTGTATTTCACGTTTTTCTGATACTTTTAAGATAAGCTGGAGTTCTTTTAGGTCTGTTTGATGGCTGAACCAAGAATCCTAAGGACTAGTGGACTAAGGCCGTATTTAACTGAGGACCAATGAAACCATCCTAACAATCATCACAAACAGCAACCCAGCACCCTTAGGGATGTTAATTGCATACTACAAATTCTCACACTACCTAAGCCTTTGGAGTTTGTGGATTTAAGAGCCCCAGCAGGATCCAGAAAGATTTGAGGTTTTAACAAGTAGTATGTCTTATGTGATTCTCCCTGGGATCATGCATTTCTATTAGTTTTGGCCCTCCCTCTCCGCAGGAACCAGGACACTGTCCACGGAGCACTGCCCAGGCTCTGTGCAGACTCACCTTCAGCTTGTGCATCAGCATTTCTTCCTGCTCTCTCTGAAGGCTTTCTCTTTCCCTCTCCAACTTCTCTCTCAGCTGGGCTATGTATTCCCTGAAGCTTCTCTCTTGAGCCTCCATCTTTTGCATCTGTTCCTTGTGTTTCTCAGTTAGCAGCTCCAGTTCCTTCTCAGCTGCCTCCTTCTTAGCCCGCTCAGCTGTTTCACACATGTTTGAGAGGCAGAAGAAAGCAACGGTCAGGTCTGATTCTATTGCTTACCACAGACACGAAACTGACTTTGAAAAGAAAGCTGAGAAGCCTCCGAATTACTTGGGTGACTAAAAGCACATTTCAGAATATGTTGGAGATGGCCCTCCTTCTCTGCCTGATATAAAAAGACAACTCTGATTGTTAATATGTATATTTAGCAGTGCTGTTCCACAGAAGGAGAGGAAGCTCTTTGTTTCATGCAGGTTTTGCCCTCATCTTTGTCTGGAGGTAGTGCAGGAACCCACCCACTGTGCTATGAGTTCAGTCCTGCACCTGTACCTGCGAGCGCTTTCTCCTGACAGGTGAGGGCTTCATCTCCCTGCAGGATGGATTTCTCTATTGCCAGCTGGTACTGTAAGAAGTCCTGGAGAACTTCATTTGCCTAAGGAAACAAGGAGCAGAGACATCTCATGCAGTACACATATTGTCTTTTTGGGGAAATTAGTGTTCTACAAAGTCACAAATCTGGCCTTGCCAATTTTGCATTTGCTTAACCTTCCTTCCATGGCTCCAATATAAATTCTGAGTGATTCTGTGAGACGTGAAACCTTCCATCACAGCCCCCTTTGTAGCCCTCCATCCTCTCCAGTAAAGCCTTCTACTATCCACCCCAGGTGCCACCCAGTAGACTTCAATGTGTATAAACAGGGACTCCTGTTTTCTCAAACATTTGTTCAATCTCTTTTCTGCCAGGATGCTCATCTACCCTTTCTTAACTAGGATAATACTTCATTCTGTAACTCTTAGTGTTCTTCCAGAGTGCTTTGCTAAGCTGCATTTCCAGGTTTGAGGATGGCCAATTACCCTGAGCTGCTCTCCCAGCTCCCACTTGCTGGTAGTATAACTCTGGGCAACTTGTTTACTTCTTTGTGTATCACATTTCTCAACTGCTTAACTATAGTATCTAAGTTATAATAATATTCTGAGCATTAAATTGACAATCCAATCAAAATACCTAACTATAGGGTGCTTACTATATGCATGGCATAGTAAGGGGGTGCTGGACATGCCTGCTAGCTTTTTTTTTGAGAGAGAGACAGAAAGAGTGAGAGAGAGAGAGAGAGAGAGAGAGAATGCAAGCAGGGGAGAGGCAGAGGGACAGGGAGAGAGAGAGAATCGTATGCAGGCTCCACACCCAGCATGGAGCCCAATGCAGGGCTCAATTTTATGACCATGAGATCATGACCTGAGCTGAAATCAAGAATTGGACATTCAACTTACTGAGACACCCAGGGGCCCCATCTGCCAATATTATAATTATTATTATCATCAATAATCATTACCATTATTTTACTATCTGTTCATAAAAGTATAATAATTATATATTTGCCCAATTATTTGTTTTCATTTTGGGTAATATCATCATCATGAGAACAAAAGTTGTGTGTTTACTCTTTGCATCCTCTATATTTAGCCAAAAAATGACCACATTATTTGATAAGGAAAAATTGTTCTCTTTAATCCAGAATTCCCATAATACTGAAAATATATTTCCAGTCTCTTCAACAATATATAACTACTGTGGATAAAAACTAAAAGTGTGGAGATATCACCCCAGCTCTGTTTTCTCCACGAAAATGGTATTATGATCTTAGATTTTCAGTAAAAGCAACAAACACTCCTTGACTCTAGGGTTCTGACGACTATCCCTCCCTCTTGATTCCTCACCTTAACCCCTTTCCTGGGCACTAGGTGATAGTGCCATTCAACTTTGTTCTTTGCTTCTATGTAGAGACTGTGTCCTCCAGGAACACAGAAAGTTCCTCTTGAAATGTTTTTCATCAAGGGATATGAAAGCTGCTTAAGCTTTGCCTGGGAATATTTGACGGATGCATCTTCATTCTGCAGCAAGAAATCTTTCTTCTTTTTCTCTATGGTGTCCTGCCAGAGAAATGGCGGAGAAATCCAACATAAAGAAGCTGTTAGAAAGGAAAGTCCAATGTCATCCTCTTAGAAAAAGCATCCTGATGACCTATGAGTAGACTGGAACATGGAATGGACCAGGAGTCAAGAAACTTTTTGTCCTAATTCTGATCAATTCTGTGTTGTTTGTGGAAAGCCCCTTAACTTCCTTGGATTCAGGCTTATCATCTATAAAATGATGGGGCTGGAAGACATAAACTCCAATTTTCCTTCTACTGTAGTATGATTAGCAATGACCCAACCATATAAACAATAGAAAGTTGAATTGTGGCCGGAAGTAGCATTTCCTTAGAGGATTTGGGTTGCTAAAACAGATTTTGTGTACAAAGAAAAGCAACCACCCAGTGATGACTGAAGAATACTCTGAACAGAGTTTGGAATCCTTAATGAATTCTTCCACTAAGGATTCTAGTGTGTGAAGATATAAAAACAGAACTTTTTCCCTTAAATTTGTAAATTGCAATCCAAGGGATTGCATATGCCAACTTTAATGAACTGGAGGCTCTTCAGAGGCCTGCCGATGAGAACTCTGTCAGGCTGACACCTTGTTTTTAGCCTTCTGATATCATGAGCAGAGCACACATCCCTTCCACGCCAGACTTCTGGTCTACAGATTGGTGAGTTTATTCATATTTGTTGTTTTAAACTGGTGAATTCATGGCAATTTTTAATGCAGCAATTTCTCTGATACAGAGAAAATTAATGAATTGCCCTATGTTATAGTAAAAGAGTGAACTGTGGGTCCACAGAGCCCTGTCTCACAACAATCCAGGCTCCTTCTACCATGGTAAAAAGATGAGCTATTTAATAAAAAATATAGGCTCTCAGCATCACTTCAGAAGGGAAGAAATCAGGAGTGATAAATTACCATGGGATTTTTACTATAAGACACATTACCACAAGCTTTTGTTGGAACTCCCGCTTGTCATCCTTGAAGGAATGCTCCATGAAGACTGCAATGGCTTCCCTCTCACAGTCCGCATGCACATCCAGCAGCTCCTGGAGCGTGTCTGTGGGGAACCTCACTCGCTGGGCCATCTGCTCGCTGTAGTGGTCAGCTGCCTTCTGCACGGCCACTGAGTTCTCACGCTGGGCCAGTGTTGTCACCACGTTCTCCAAGCAAGGAACTTCTCCCGTCCTGATGGCATGCACATAGGCTTTCAACAGAGTCCCCAGCCCTAAATACACCAGGAAGTTTGAGGATAAATACGTAGGTCTCAAAGACTGGCTTCCAGTTTTTATGGAACATCATCCTAGGATCACAAAAAACCCTACCTTATTTAAAAGGAAATTTAATTCTCTTCTTTGGGAACCTATTCCTTTCTAACAACATTACTGTTTTCCTGTTCTTTCTTTTATTGTTCTCCATTTCTTCATATTATAATTTAAATTACCGATTACAACCAATATGTTCATGGGTCACTGGAAAAATAATTTCCCATTCAATGAGAATAAAAGGGAATAGATTATATGGGTGAAACAGTATACACAAATAAGACCAGCTACATAATTTGTGTTTCCCAGTACAAAATAAAAATGTGGGTTCCTAGTTGAAAATGATCAAGAATTCAAGATAGGGATAGAGGGGCTCCTGGGTGGCTCAGCTGGTTAAGCAGTCAACTCTTGATTTCCACTCAGGTCATGATCTTATGGTTTGTCAGTTGAAGTCCCACATCAGACTCTGTGCTGACAGCTTAGAATTCTCTCTCTCAAAATAAATAAATAAACTTAAACAAAACAAAAAAGAGAGAGAGTGTGAGCCCATCTCCACACAGGACTGCATAAGTCACATACCCATGAAACATGCCCTTGTAGATAAGATCAGACATAATTTTCCTTCTCAGTGGGCTTAGAGGAACTTATAACTTCCTATTTATGATCTGACTCATGTAAATTTATAAACTATCTACTATATATTTAAAGAAAAGAAGTTATCCCATAGGATTTCTCAATCTACAGATATTCTCTCTTTAACTCCATCTTGCTTTTTATAATTAGAGGATTAGGGTCTTAAGATATATGAAGTCTCAGCAAACCCTCATGTAGGGAGACTAATTAAGAAACATGTATGGATATCTTTTCATGGCATAAATATCTGCTTCTCCATACTTACACACAGATGTCAACAAAGTTACTGACAAACGCAGAGTATACTCAAAGCCCCACCACGCACACTGATACAGAGACATGCTTTGGAACAAAGGTGACTCACGGTTCCCAGTAACAATGATTCCCTCTCCTAGAGTCTTGGTCTTTGTATGAGTGAAAATATAGGTACGGAATTTGTTTGATTGCTCCCGGAAACTACTGTCCAGCTGGTCTTCTGGCACATTCTCAATATGGACCAAGAGATTTTTGTCATTCGAAGGCCGGTCAAAGATGAAGCACTTCCGTTTTGGGAAGAATTGCCTGATGCACTCTCTGGACATGTTGGAATTCTGGATTTTGGGATTTGTGCCTACAAATGTAGAAAACAGTTGATCACCGAAAGGCAGCCTTCAGGTAATGGGGTGAGGACTTCATTTCCAGGAATCTTTGCATGATTGCAGCACCTATGCCTGTAAATCTCCTTTATTCTAATCATGTGTTTTGCAAATCAATCTTGGGCTGACTTACCAAAGTTAAGGAAAATTCCTTGAATAGAATTAAGAGTCAAGAGAAAGGAGAGGCATTCAGCCCAAAAGAAGAATCTTAGGAAAGTTTCCTTAGCATTTTTATGGAGTCCCATGGATCAAATATTTAATAAATGTTTAATGATTGATTAAGAAGAGTCAGAGGCCCAGAAATATAGAGAAAAAACTGGTGGTTGCAGAAAGGATGGGGTTGGGGGAATGAGCAAAATGGTTGAAGAGGAGTGGGAGGTACAGGCTTCATGTTATGGAATGAAGAAGTCATGGGGATGAAAGGCATAGACAATGGCACTGTAATAGTGTTGTATGGTGATACATGGTAGCGACACTTGTGGTGAGCATAGCATAATATATAGAGTTGTCCCATCACTATGTTCTACACCTGTAACTAGTGTAACAATATGTGTCAACTGTACCTGAATTTAAAAAAAAAAAGGAAAAAAAGGGTCAGAGGTACTTTTCTGATCCTATTATTCCCATGGCAAAAATGAAATAATAGGCCTTGTGACACTTAGGTGGCTCAGTCAGTTGAGCATCCGACTTCAACTCAGGTCATGGTCTCACAATTCATGAGTTCAAACCCCATATATATCAGTCTCTCTGCTGTCAGTATGGAGCCCACTTCAGATTTTCTGTCCCCCCACCCTTCTCTCCCCCTTCCCTGCTTGCTCACTCTCAAAAATAAATAAATATTAAAAAAAATAGTAAGAAATATGGGCCTTGAAATGATGTCAGAGCAAAAGGGTAACATTTTGTTGGGGAAATGTCAGGAAGAAAACAGATGTCGATGTCAGTAAAAAAAACTTTTATAAGCATAAGCCAAAATCATATCATACCACAAATATGTTTAGAGATTCCTGTAACTGAAATCTCTAAAGTATACATCAATCTAAATGTAATTTGAGACCTCATCATTTCCCTATAATAGACTAATTCAGACTTCATAGAACAATTACAGAGCAACTCTGTGGCACATATCAGCTGTTTAATAAAAGAATTAATGAATGAAAACATAAAAATGGATATTCCCTATAGATGCCTTCTATTATCCTCTCTGCTAAATGTAATGCATGTAACAAATTCATTAATATTAAAATAGCATATTGTATAAGGCTACAAAATGAAAAGGATGATGTTATAAGAAAGGTAACATGAAGGACTGACAGTTTTACTGGAAAGGTATGTCAACATTGTTTTCTGGACCTATTAGTGTAAAAAATATCCTTTCTGTAAAGACTATAACTCTCTAGGCACTAGTAAAATATATTTTACTATTAAAATATACTTACTATTTTACTATTTCAATTACTATGTTACTGTTAGTATTGAAATTTATTTCAAAAATAAGGTAATTAATTTCATTGTGATATTGTCTAGCAACTTCCAATCTGATGAGCTTTTTTTCTCTTTTAAATAAAGAACAGGAAGAACACTTAACAACCCATAGAAGTATGTGGGTCTCAAAAATTATAGCACTGATTGCAATCTGGAGATTTTTTCATGACATTAATTAGCATTAAGTTATCTGATCCAATACAGAGCCCTAAATTTCTTTAGTGACCTTAAGCTCCAATTGCTGGAGATTTTAAAGTAATAATAACTCACAAAACCCAATCACCATTAGCAATGCCTTCAATCCAAATTCAAATAAACCTGTATATCAAATGCTGAATGACAGGGCTCAGCTGATTCCACCAATTTAAAAAACCTTCCACCATTTAAGCCATACTCTGAGACCTGGAAGCAGCTTCAAGGCGTCCTCCAGGTACTCATCTTCAGTTATGGAGTATCCATTTATCTTCATTTCCAGTGCGAAATCTCGTAAAGCCCAAATAAAGTCTGGAAAGAAACTCACAAACTTGGCAGAGTCCTCTACCCCATTGTACTCTGAGGAGGACTTTGCCCTGACTAGCTGTGTTAGTTCGGTCATATAGCTGTGGGAGCTTAGCTAAGGAAAAAATACTTTACACCACAATTTCCAGATCTCAGACAGAAATACATTTTAACTAATTTATGTTCTGGGCCTCCCCTCACCCCCTTCTTTAACCATGACAACTAAGTCACAGGAAAGATGACTGTCTGAGTTGCCATTCCTGTAAATTTAATAAAACTTGGTGGTTTGTCCCTGGAAGGATACTGCAGCTGCTCCAGGGCCTGGTGGTTGATGGTGCCCACGCTGTTGTAGATCAAGGTGCTGCTCAGAAGCACAGTCAGGGCAAAGATCCAGGAGTCATTCTTCCAGTCTTCCTGAAAAGCACATTAGACAAGAGACTTAGAAGGCTGCTCTTTATCCATTCATTCATTTATTCACTCATTCAGGTTTTCATTATTTTGTCATTTTATATTGCTGAATAGTAAGGCAGAATACAAGTTTTGAAGACAATAATAAATTCAACCTCATTTTTAATATTAATATAGTCCCTTCTCAGAGCCACAGTATCTTAGCTATTAAAAGAAGTGAATGGCACTGTCAATATGTGAAGAATGTTTAATGCAGTGCCTAGAAGACAGTATGTATACAATAATGTCAGCAATTATTCCTCTAACAAATTTTTCTTCGTATTTTCTATATTTGCAACACAAATGTTGTTCAACAACTACTCTTTAGGCACCTACGAATGCCACACACTGCATTTGGTTGTAAGGATGCAAAGGTCCACATGAGAGTCCCTGCACTCAAGAAGACTTTATGAAGGGACAGATGTCAACATATAAATGTAACCAAGATTACAATCTCTTGTGTGGAAACAAATATTGTGCAACTTCAGAGCAAGAAGTGACTGTATGTGCCAGGGATATGATGGCTACATGGTGAAAACTGGTGCATGTCAAAGAGTTGATAGAATGTGGAGAATGTTCCAAGTGCACTTGAGAAGAATGTGTATTCTGCTGCTTTAGGATGGAATGTTCTGAATAGATTTAGTCATCCAGTCCAATCTAGTGTGTCATTCAGAGCCATTGTTTGCTTGTTGATTTTCTTTAGATGATCTGTCCATTGCTGTCTATTACTATATTATTATCAATGAGTTTCTTTATGATTGTAATTAATTATTTATATATAATAAGTGCTTTCAATTTGGGGGCATAAATATTTGTAATCGTTAAATGTTCTTGATGGATAGACCCCTTAATTATGATATAATGCCCTTCATCTCTTGTTACAATCTTTGTTTTACAATCTAGATTGTCTGATATAAGGATGGCTACTCCAAATATCTTTTGACATCTAGTAGTATGATAGATGGCTCTCCATCCCCTCACTTTCAATCTACAGGTGTCTTTAGGCCTAAAAATGAGTCTCTTATAGGCAGTATATAGATGAATCTTGTTTGTTTGTTTGTTTGTAAATCCATTCTGATACCCTGTTATCTTTTTAAAAAATTTTTTTAACATTTGTTTATTATTGACAGACAGTGAGAGACAGAGGATGAATAGGGGAGGGGCAGAGAGAGAGGGAGACACAGAATGTGAAGCATGCCAGGTGCTGAGCTGTCAGCACAGAGCCTGATGTGGAACTCGAACTCACAAACTGCGAGCTCATGACCTGAGCCGAAGTTGGATGCTTAACCGACTGAGCCACCCAGGTGCCCCTTCTCCCTGTTATCTTTTAATTGGAGGATTTAGTCCATTTTCATTCAGAGTGATTATTGAAAGATATGAATTTAGTGCCATTGTGTTATACTTATAGAGATGGTGTTTCTGGTGATGTTCTTTAGTCTTTTGTAGTCTTTGTTGCTTTGGTCTTCTTTTCTTTTTTTCCTCCACTCAGAGAGTCCCCCTAAAAATTTCTTGTAGGGTTGGTTTAGTGGTCACAAACTCCTTTAGTTTTCGTGTATCTGGAAACTCTTTCTCTCTCTTTCTATTCTGAATGACAGGCTTGCTGGATAAAGAATTCTTGGCTGCATATTTCATTTTGGTTTTATACTTAAATTATTATTGAGAACTTTAAAGCTAAGCACAAAATCTCTGAATACTTTCTCCCCACAATTATGGAAACCAGATATTTACCATTGCTACTTGAATATAGACTCAGAATAATGTAAAATAAGAAAGATAAACAATTTGTTTATCACACTTAATATTTAAAAACAAAATACTAAGATTATCTCAGGTAAAATAACTTCAGTGAGTCAAGTTCATTCTTTTATAGAAGTTAGAGAAGAGGTAATCTCCAAAACCAGAGACTTTAACTAAAACCCTTCATCAATGCTTCTGGTGTAGCTGAAGGTTTGTCTGAAGAGGATTTAAATAAATTATTTTACTGAAACCCTATTTAACAGCTCCTACTTCTAACTCCATCATTCCCACATACCTGAACTGGTAGTTCCCACTGGCCTCAGGGGTTACAGTTTAGACATTATTTCTTCTAGGAATCTTTCTCCAAGCCATAGGACTGGATTAGCTGCCTACATCTATGCATGGCACCCTGTACTGGTCACATTGTGTACATGCTCTTTCCCTAGCCAGGCTCTAGCCATTTGCCTTATTTACTGTAGTGTCTGTAGTACTTAGCACAGAGCCCTGAAATTCAACTATTTGGTTAAGTAGTTATTAAACTGTATGTTTATCCAACTGTTAAAAGTAAGAAGATGTTGCTCTAATATACCCAAATATTTGAGCTGACCAAGGAACTAAGGGGACATTTTCCATGGGTAAAATAACTTAGTCTCATATTCATAAGTGGGTTTATAGCTTGCAGGATATAGGTAACACAATTTGAATTGAGGTAGCAAATGAAGTACAGTCAAGAGCAGATTCCCTCATGACTTTTCCTTACCTTTTCCAAATTACCTAGACCCTCAGTGTCCAGAAAGACCAGGGTATGGTTCAGCTTAGAGGGGTGGGGTACACACCACATCCAAATGCCCTTGGTTTTAGACTTCACTGTGGAACCCAAGGGGAAGCCTGAAAGAGAAGAGAGGAAAGCAACATGGATGTACAGGGATCTTTAGAGTTTAGTGGACTGAAGTTCAACACCTAGTGAGGCTGAACAAGAAAGAAGGTAAGATATTTGGAAAACAATGGCTTCATGATCTACATAGAAAGAAATGACTAATGACTAATGGGACCAGAGGAAGATTCTCCTAAAAATTGGTAAGAACTAAATAAGACAACTCAATTACAATTTTTAAAAAGACTTGAGTAGGCATTTAACAAAACAGGAAATAAAAATGGCATATAATACGTGAAATGTGCTCAACCTTATTTATAGTGAGGTACATGATACACAACCAGTCATCACAGCAGTAAAAGTTAAACATTTCTTCTTAGGGCTTGGGAATTCTTAACTGCTGCTAATAAATATGTAGCTTAAAGAGAAAGTTGAAAAAGCCATTGATACTATCTGGAAATCCTGAAGAAACACATACTCTTTGACACAGATATTCCACTTCAGGATATATTATGTAAGAGAAATCTGTGTATATGTGCATCAGGGTAAAATTATAAGAATATCTAAGACAACTCTGTTCATAAAAGAGAAAAGATACTATAGTGCAGTGAAATAAGGAAATTATAGCTACATGCTAAAAAATGGATAAATCTTCTAAACTTCTTGTTGAACAAAAGAAGTAAGACATCAAAGAGTACATAAAACTTAATTCTACTGATAGCAACTTTAAAATCAAGCCAAGATAAAGTGTGCTTCAGAAATGCAAACAGACTGGGGCGCCTGGGTGGCTCAGTCAGTTAAGCGTCTGACTTTGGCTCAGGTTATGATCTTACGGTTTGTGAGTTTGAGCCCTTTGCCGGGCTCTGTGCTGACAGCTCAGAGCCTGGAGCCTGCCTCAGGTTCTGTGTCTTACTTTCTCTCTGCCCCTTTCCCGCTCATGCTTTGTCTGTCTCTCAAAAATAAATAAAAACATTACAAAAAATTTTTAAATGCAAATATAGACTATAAAACTATTTTTTAAAAGTAAAGAAAAAAGTATCATGAAAATCAAAATATTGTTTAGAACTAGTGAGAATATGAGAGTGTATGACTTGGGCCTTTGGGTATCAACAATGATTTATTTTTTTACTCAAGCCATGATTACACAGGTGTTCACTTTATTTATTTTATTGCACATTGTGTTTTAGGCACCCTTATGCATGTGTTATAGTTCACATATTTGAAAAGACTAAAAAAAGAGAGAGAGAAGGAGTTATAACTTATGAAAATTTGCTACAACATGGAGCAGAAAAATAAAATGGTAGCTCTATGGAGATACAGGGTGAAAAGATATTTCCCTTTTTCCCTTCCTTTCTTTTCCTCTACTTTCAAAAACAAGATATATTAAACTACATTTGAAGCTTCTTGGAATGACATTATAGTTTTGGCAAAAGTGATGCAGGGGAAAGAAATAAAGTAGTAGCAGAAGCTGAACTGAGCAGAAGAGAGGATGGAATCCAGAGGACTAGTGAGGTTGGTCTTTGATAGGGTGTGAAAAATGGTTCTTCGTTATTGGAGAAGAGAGGTTTTATGGAAAGATGGAGTAGAGGTTGTTAATTAGATGGTAAATATTATAAATTTTCTTCATTGGGCAGAGTCAGTCTTTTCCCTAAGATGATATCAGAAGAGGCAAACTTGCACTATTACTGGTTCCAAGCAAATGGCCCTGATCCCGACAACACTCACCGTGGTTCTGTCCTGCCAGGCGGTTCATCAGGTAGGATTTTCCTGTCCGGTACAGCCCTACAATGCCCACCACCACCACAGGCTGTGAAATATTGTTAAGAATCCATAATGCTTTTGGATTCAGGTTCAGCTGCTCTTCCTGGTTTTCCACTAGACAAATGGGTGCCGTCATGATGGGTTCAGTTGCCATGGTAACCTGCAATGCAGAAGAGCCTCTCAGTAGAATGGAAGATCCCAAAGTCATCTTTAATGGTTATTCAAGGACCATCCATATTTACTTCAAACTTTTTGTACATTTCAAAGGGAAAAGTACATAGCCTGGAATTGGCAAATCACAGACCTCTTTGTCCAGCATACCCATAATCCCTAGTGAAATCAATGATGGCACAAACATATTACTTGTCTCCAATGACTCAGTTCTCTAAAAATAATATTATTGCTCGTGAATCCCTCTGCATGAAAAGCCTTGGTAAAAATCCCTGAAATTTGAAGAATTTTATCTTTTCTTACGAGATGAAGTAATGGCACTACAGATACTTGAGCCAGAAGATTGGTAGAGGCTTTACGGTCAGTCAGTGGCAAAAGTAGGAGGTGAATAGTGATCTTGCTGTACTATCTATTCCAAGAACTTACCTGTCAGAATTAACTTCCTCAAATATACATTTAAAAAACATGTAAGTTTCCTAGTGGAAAGGAAGATTCTGAACAGAGAGCATGATCTGAACAGCTGCTGTTTTTCTTGCATCATCATCAAGTCACCAATCTATTTCCAGACCAACTCATCTATTTACAGGGTGTGTGTCTCATTGGAAACTTCAGTTCATGTCACCTTTTGTAAAAGGCATAAGTCTGACATCCAGTCTAATTTATTACATAATTCATTACCTAAACATCTAATCCATTATATATTTGATAAACCTGATGCCATGCTCAATGCTGGGGATATAAAAATGGATGAGATAGAGTCTCAACCTTCAAAGTGTCTTAGAATCTATATCAGCTAGGCTTTGGTTCATCTGTGAGCAAAAGAAAAGCCCTAGAAAGCCATTGTTTAAAAAACTGAACGTGTACTACTCTTTCTCACAAGTGTACAAAGATTAAGATTATACCTTACAAAGTTATCAGGGGCACCGGTTCCTTGTATTTCTTGCTTAGCCATTTTTCCATCTTTTTTTCAGAGGTGGTAAAGGGGCAGAGAGAGAGGAAGTGAAAGAATCTCAAGCATGCTCCATGCCCAGCATGGAACCCGACTCGGGGCTCGATCTCACAACTGGGAGATCACGACCTGAGCCGAAATCAAGAGCCAGATGCTCAACCGACTGAGCCACCCAGGCACCCCTGCTTAGCCACCTTTTAACAATGCCACCTCATGGTATAAGCTGACCCACCATCACATGTGCCTTCTATCCAGCAAAAGAAGAAAACAGGAAGGAGGTGAGGTTACCTTCCTTCAAGGAATATCTCCTGGATAATTGAGTATGCACATATCACTTTAGCTCAGATTCCAGTTACTGTAATTATTTCTCAAGACCTTATGGTATATTGGAAAAGAGAGGCAATAATCATTCATTGCAGCATAAGTAGAGAAATGCCATGATAGACATCTGGACAGGATGGTGTCCAAGTAAAAGGGGAGCCTGGGTGGACAGCTGAGTGATATGAGAGAACCCTGAAGAATGGAGCTCTTCCTTAAAGCTGAATAGAAATACTGCTTTATAGTGACTAGAGAAAGATATGGTTCCAGTATTTATTTAACTGGAAGAAAAGGACATTTCTAGGCTTTATAATGTTTTATTTTTGTTGACATGCTTACAGAGAAACGCACTAGTAGTGTGGATGTTTGAGGTTCTGTCCAGATCTGACAGAGTCCAACATGTGGGTAAGTTTGAATATTTTCCTCTCAATGAGTGGAGTGTTTCATGAGATAAAGGGACAGAGATCAGTCATAGAGCTTTGACTCTCCCTTTATGTTCGCTGTGACAGTGTTGAACAACAGTGTTCCATACTGTTTCCAGCTCTCTGTCCAAGGTGGCGTTTCTTTGACAGTCATTCAGGCAGTCCTGGACCCACGAAGAAGACACTCTCACGCTCAGGAGAGAGCTATGCATACCATTCCTATACCATCATCATGAATGTGTGTAATACAAACACAGTCCCGTCTCATCTGGGACACACTATCGCTGACCCATAACAACAACCCTCTTACCTCATTTGAGACACTAAATGAAATATTAAAGAGCAACTAAGCATAACTTCAGGATAAGCAATACTCTTTCATATACTTCTCAAGATTCTATTTTGCCTCTACATTTTGTGAAATTAGACATTGTCCATTTATTTCCTGCATAAACAAAAAATTATTAACTGCACAACAAATACTCATGGACTTTTAGCTTATAAAACAAAGCTACCTGAAGGCATTGGTAATAGAGAGGGTGAGCTCCAGTACAAGTAATATTAGAACAGCAACAAGAATGACAGTGAAGAGAGGCACCATGATATACTGTGTTTAGAGCCTGACTGCCTGGGTTCAAATACTGGATCCATTCTGTACGAGTTGTTGGACCACAAAAAACAAACAACCCAAAAACAAAAACAAACTAACAAACCCACACCGCAATCTCTTTGTGCCTATTTCTTTTCTACTAGTATTTCCATAAGACTAGAATACTAATGGTGACCACATCACAGGTCACCGGAGGTATTAAATAATTCATGACATTTATGGCAACCTAAAACCATGGCTGGTTTGTTGTAACCGCTATGTAAGTAAAACTATCTGAGAAGACAGAGAAGGTAGAATTCTAAATGCATGTGATGGACCATTCTGGACAGACACAGTGACTCTTCTCCCATTCAGGAGTCACTGTGAGCTTGCATTGCAGCAGACACGGACAGAAAGCAGGACTGAGGTGTCCAAGCTAAGACGACTTTAAATCCAAATTAAATAAGTAGAATGAGATAGTTCTATTAGATGCAGTTAGATGGTCAATGGTTCCCAAAAATTACTGTCTATAAGAATCATCTGAAGTAATGATAAAAATGTCCAAAATCTACATTTTCAACAAATACCGTAAGATATTTTGATGTAGTTTGTGCATGGAACACACATTTATAAACAGAGCAAGATAAACAAACAGGCTTAAACCTTAGAATTACTTTTAACAATCGATTAGCGTGAGACTGAACTACTCCATACATCTCTGCTGTATCTATGGAAGATTAACTATGACTAGTACAAACCTACGCCAAGACACAACCTTCTGGGATAGAAGCTGAAGGGGACATAAGGACCATCCTGGCTATTTACCCCGGCGCCCAGCAGGTGGCAGGCAGGACACAGAGGAAGGGGGAGGGACCTCACCCAGCGCCCCCGCGGGGAGGAGTCGGGGGTCTGGCCCCCAGCGGGAGGAAGGCTACGGAGCCCCATTCCGCACCTCAGCGGCCCGCATGCACGGGTCCATTCCCGCACCGGGCTCCCTGTGACTCTGCGGAAGCAGCACCTCCCGGGACCCGGCGCGCGTGCTGTCGCCACCCCGCCCCCCAGGCTCCCGGGTTGACGCGGACTCGCTGAGCTGAGGGAGCAAAGCGCCCCGTGCCGGCCTCCCGCGGGGGGCGCGGAGCCTGCGCCTGGGCCTGTGTTGTGTTGTGTGTTGTTAGTCTGTTAGGCGAAACGTGCGCGGAAAGCCAAGTATAGGAGCGAACTTACGTGGCGCTGTCGCTGCGGTCAGGGGACAGGTTCTCAGCTGCTCTCGCTCGCTCGCCCCTCTCGCGCTCCGCCAGCATCTGGCTCCTCAGGAAACTAACTGTTCCCTTTGGAAGCAGGACAGCCGCCGGATATTACAGCCATGCAGGCATGGGTGGAGATGGGGAGGGCCGAAACCGAAAGCATTTTCCCCTCCCGGCTCGGAGCGCGGGGGTCTTCGCCAGCTTCGCCGAGGCCAGGGAGCGCAGCGTGAGAGGCGAGGCGCGCAGCGGGTGCGTGCGGTGCCCGCGCCTGCGCCCGCGCCTGGAAGCCAGGAGGCGCCGCCTGCGCACTGCGCTCCCTGTCCTGCTCCGGAGACCCCTCCTCGCGCACCTGTGCGTGCGGTGGCGGCCCGCGGCAGCCTCGCTCCGTGCTGCGCCTCGTCCCGGGACAGCTTTGGTTGTTGTTTTGTTCTTTAATTTTTCTTGCTCTTGTCTTCCTGCCTCCCTGTTAAAGAACTACTCTTGCTAATAATATAAGTATTCTTTTAAAAAAATAATTTTTCATAACAAAAATACGCATATGGTGTGTGTGTGTGTGTGTGTGTGTGTTTCCCCCAGTACTATCATTTCCAGATAATCACTAGTGTTTTGTTCCTATTCATGCAGTTACTTTTTTTTTCTCTGTTTCTCTACCGTGTGGGCAGATTGGGGATGGGGGCTTGTTGCTTTTATAATTGGGGTTTGCTCTAAATAAAATAATAGAAAAATACCAAGTCAACTGTGAATTCCTATTAAAAATAAAGCAAAGAAGTCAGAACCAGCGTCGCATTTTAAAAAGATGGCAAATGCTACAAACATTTTCAGAAATTTCTGGGTGGGACAAAAAGACGTTAATAGTGTCAATTCTATCTTCACCATTCTATTTGTGTGAAATTGGCTCTTTGGCAATAACAGTGGTAAAAACTAAGTACTGCTTTGATGGTTGTACATTCACTTTTTATACAATATCAAAAATCTTGTTAAATTAACAAAAATTAAAATGGTGTTAAATTATCGAAAGATAGCACTAATATGGCAATCAAAAACTGTTAAATATCAGAAAGTAAAATTTCATATTGAAAATTTTAATCCCCCATTTCCTTTCACATGCCATGTAATGCTACCGTATTCTTTTTAACCAATCACATTTTTATGGGAACTTTATCTTTCAATATAAACTTATATATTGTCCTTCCTAATATTGTACAAAAATTTACCCATATTACCGCCTTGGTGACATTGGATGTCCTTTTAAAATTTTCTTTCTTTGATATTATTAAAATCGGATGAGAATACATTTTTTCCTGCAACACTTGAGGCACATTTTACTGGTACATATAATCCAAATGTAGGACCCATTGCTATTGGATATTTAAAGAGCAAATCAAAGTTCTCACTCTTGGTGGATCTTGGGGGCAAATATTATAGCATAAAGTAAGATGTGGTGGGTGTTAAGTAATGTTACAAATGAACTGCTTGGTTGTCTACAAGAGCAACAATTCATTATATTCCAAAGGATTTTAGATGGCCTTAGAATGGAGGTGGCATTACGTTTAGATCTTGAAGAATTACTCAGATTTCATCAAAGACAGACTGGACAAAATGCATTTTCTTTCTTTCTTTCTTTCTTTCTTTCTTTCTTTCTTTCTTTTTTTTTTTGAGAGAGAATCCATGAGCAGTGGCAAGAGGTTAGAAGAAGAGGGAGAAAGAGAGAATATTAATCAGACTCCACACCCAGGGTAGTACTAGTCTTGGAACTCGATCTCATGACTCTGAGACCACAACTTGAGCCAAAATCAAGAGTTGGACACTTAACCGACTGAGCCACCCAGGCAACCCAAAATGCACTTTAAAACGAAGGAATTGAGCAAATATACAATAGTTAATGAGCAATGCTAGGAATGATCCAGGGTTTATTATAGCTAGAGATTGAAAGATCGGTTGGGATCTGGCTCATGATCAGATCAGAAGCAGACTGTTTTTAGTCCTAAAGTTAAACTTGGCCATTTTGAGAGTTGAACCCAAGCTGAGCTAAGAACTTCATTCTTTTTATATCATCCATGTATGGTGTAATTTCCTCAGTAGCATACTGACACATTCCAAAATCCTCCAGCTCTCAATCTCACTCACAATACTAGGTTTCTTACAGCAAAATGTTTTTATTAGTATTTAGCAAGGAATGAAAAACAATTTAGAGTTTCTCTTCCAGTTTTCCTTGCTTATAATTGTTTCAAGGCAAAAAATCTTTTATAATTATATTTTGGAGCATAATACAGGCAAAGGAAGAATTGTTAAAATGTTTTCTTAAGCTGATGGAGTTTAAATGATGTTTTATTTAACAACAATGAAGGTTTTTTTCATTTTCTATTTAACTCTTCAAAAAATAGGTTATCATGTGGTTTTAGCAAATTTTTTTGGCACGTACTATATCAGCTTTTGAAATCACTTGACGTTCTTAGGAAATGTTTCATTTTAACATCCTGCTACACATTGTGAAAAAACAAAGGGTTATGGATGTACTAGCCCTTCCGGAGAGCACAGATGTAAAGCAGTTTCAGTTCTGATAATCCGCCTAGTGCAATTTTTAGGTGAAAAACACATGTGTGCTGATTTTTCTTATTCTTATTTTTTTATGTTTATTTTTGAGAGAGAGAGAGAGAACAGGAGCAGGGGAAGGGGCAGAGAGGAGGGAGACACAGGATCCGAAGCACACTCCAGGCTTTGAGGTTTCAACGCAGAGCCTGACTCAGGGCTTGCACTCATGAACTGTGAGATCATGACCTGAGATGAAGTCACTTAACCTAACGAACCACCCAGGTGCCCCAATTTTTCTTATTCTTAATTCATCTAACAGATAACATTTGCTTCAAAATTACAGTGCCAACAGTGTATTTGATTATGTATGCTAATGTATGTATCTTGGTATATATAACATATATATAGATATATGCCTATGTATTCTTATATATAAGTGACATGAGTGACAGCAACGACACAAGGAAAGCAAGAGAGGGAGGAATTAGGCTTATTTTGTTATTTCGAGGGACTTATACTATCTGTGAAGTGGTACGGTACAATATTATTTGAAAGGACATTTGGATTAGTTGTAAATATATATTGTAAACTCTAGAGCAACTGTTAAAAAATGAAAAAGAAAGCCCAGACAATATACTAAGAAGGGAGAGAAGAAGAGAATCATATAAAAAGCTCAGTTAAAGTCACAAAAAAGCAGAAAAATACTGAAAGACAAAAATAGTGACAGAACAAGAGCCACAAATAGAAAACAGTAATAAACATGGTAGATATTTACCCCACTATGTCAATAATCACTCTCTCAATGGTCTACATGAGAGCAGAGCAGAGCAGAAAGGTAATAGAAATATTATAATGTATGTGTCTCTATGTGTGTTGTATAATAGTACCATATGAACGATATGTTAGGTAAGAAAGTATGCCTAGAGATGAAGAGTAATGCAGAAAAGGATGAAAATCCCAGTTTTTAGGGGGCACGTGGGTGGCTCAGTCGGTTAAGTGCCTGACTTCGGCTCACGTCATGATCTCACAGTTTGTGAGTTTGAGCCCTTCATTGGGCTCTGTGCTGATGGCTTAGAGCCCGGAGCCCGCTTCGGTTTCTGTATCTCCCTCTCTCTCTGCCCCTCCCCTGCTTGCACTCTGTGTCTCCCTCAAAATAAATAAATACTAAAAATATTTTTAAATCCCATTTTTTCAGGAGGATTTAATGTTGCTAAATTTTCTGTATCCAAAATATAACTTCAAAATAAGCAAAAATGGAAATGACTACAAGAATAGAAAAGACTACAACTATAAAGAAACATACTACTTTGGTGACAATTTGTTGGATCAAAACTACAAAATCTGTGATAATGTTGAAGACTTGAACATCATGATTAAGAAAACTGACCAAATGGTGATTTACTATACAGAAAATGGTGCTAAAATATGGTAGAACAAAATTTTTCAGGCTTAAAGGATTTCAGTCAAGCAAAGTGTGATTTCCTTTGAAACAATGTTAAGAAACAGTAACAAAAGGGATAAATGGAAATCTCTATAAGCATGTAAATTAAAAATTCTACTTAAAAAAAACCCTCTGGGTCTAAGAAGACTTCATAATAAAAATTAAAATATTTTAACCTGAAAAATGTTGATAATTTTTACATCTTATTGTGAAAGTCATCATGTTAATCCATGTATTAAGGAAGATTAGCTAAACACCAATCTCAAGAAGTTAGAAAGTAGACAAACAATGGAAGGAAGAAAAATAAAAATAATGTAGATCTTAATGAAATAGACAACAAATACAAAAGAGAGTCAAAGTATCCAAAATATTGGTCTTTGGTAAAGAATAATAGGTTGGTAAAGCTGTGGTGGCAAATAAAGAGAACAAAAGGTGTGAATTCTTCATTTTCTCCCATCCTTACAGAAAGGACATTCTACAAAATCATCATGTTTTAACTCATCTAAGAACCAAGGACAAGCAGGTAAACTGGTTTCCAAAGGTACCAATTTCTTTTGAGGAGACAGGCCCATAGATAGATAGATAGATAGATAGATAGATAGATAGATAGATAGATTTATAAATTTACACCCAAGTTAGTATATAGTGCAATAATGATTTCAGGACTATAAACCAGTAATTCATCCCCTATGTACAACACCCAATGCTCATCCCAACAAGTGTTTTCCTTATATATATACCACATCTTCTTTATTGCTTTGGCTATTCGGGATCTTTTCTTTAGAAAAGTGTCTGTTCATGTCTTTTGCCCATTTCTTCACTGGATTATTTGTTTTTTGGGTGTTGAGTAAGTTCTTTGTACATTTTGGATACTAACCCTTTAACCGATATGTCATTTGCAAATATCTTTGCCCATTCCATCGGTTGCCTTTTAGTTTTGTTGATTGTTTCCTTTGCAGTGCAGAACCTTTTTAAATTGAGGAGGTCCCAATAGTTTCATTTTTGCTTTTAATTCCCTTGCCTTTGGAGATGTGTCGAACAAGAAATTGCTGTGGCTGAGGTCAAAGAGGTTGTGTCCTGCTTTCTCCTCTAGGGTTTTGATGGTTTTCTGTCTCACTCTCAGGTCCTTCGTCCATTTTGAGTTTATTTTTGTGTACGGTGTCTGAAAGTGGTCTAGCTTCATTCTTCTGCATGTTGCTGTGTCCAATTCTCCCAGCACCACTTACTAAAAAGACTGTTTTTTTTTCCATGG